TACCCATCACTCGATCTGTAAAATGACCTTCTGAAGATGTATTTAATATACGAAAGTACTTAAGGAAATTTCCTGTTTCAATTTTCCTCCGTGGTCTGACATTGTCATATATATATATATATATATATATATATATATATATATATATATATATATATATATATATATATATATATATATATATATATACATACACACAACCTCACCGTCACAAGGACTGAAACCAGGAGCTAAAGACTGACCCCAGGAAAATACACTCGTTCCTAAAGCACTTTAAACTTCCAAACCAATCCACTGACAATCCAGCACAATCCACCTTCCATAATATGCAATCCACTGATCTTTCAATGCAATCCACCTAACTCCTAACCACAATCCACATTTGATACAAGACACTGCACCACCTCTCGCCCTTGACACGTCAAGAAATGTTTAGACAGAATTAAGGGGCCACTGTTTTTCCTTAATAACTATCTACGGGATCACCATAGCCCGTGCTACTTGGAACTTTTTGTTCCAAGTAGCGAATTTTTAACAACAACAGCAACTGTTTTTCCATCTTGATTATAAAAAGTCTAGACTTCCCAGATGACTTGAGATCGATTTTGATAAGATTTAACAGTGGTCGATTTGAACCCTACTAAATAGTGGACGATTTAAACCCTATTAAACAGTGGACGATTTGAACCCTACTAAACAGTGGACGATTTGAACCCTATTAAACAGTGTAAGATTTGAACCCTACTAAACAGTAGACGATTTGAACCCTACTAAACAGTTGACGATTTGAACCCTACTAAACAGTGGTCGATTTGAACCCTACTAAATAGTGGACGATTTAAACCCTATTAAACAGTGGACGATTTGAACCCTACTAAACAGTGGACGATTTGAACCCTACTAAACAGTGGACGATTTGTACCCTACTAAACAGTAGACGATTTGAACCCTACTAAAGTGGACGTTTTGAATACTGAACATTGTATTTAATACCTAAACGCTCAAGATCTGAACACCATTTATCTACAGTTTACTCAAATCAAAAGTAAAAACTTTTGGGCATCACTCTCAAGGGACAACAATCCCTTGAGTTGATTAGATCACCAACAATCACCATGCTAAATCAGCCGGGGGGGGGGGGCTAACACTCAATAAATACAATCCGAGGACCAACAATCCCAAGTTAGATAAATCCCAGATAGTGGTTATAACAATTACAAATTCAGTAAATCCCAGTCAGGATTGGGTGGTGGGCGGGTTAATCAAAGGTTGAAATAAATCACAGTCGAGGGCCAATTCCCATAAATCTACAGTGCCACACGTCACAGCTACCATGTGGCACTGACCCGTGACGACCACACAGGAGGACCGGTCATGAACCGTTTGGGGAAGGGGGGGGAGGGGGGGAGGGGCGGAGGGTGGGAGAAGGGGGGTGGGAGGGGGGGGTGGGAGGGGGGTTAGGATAGATCAAGTTAATGGACAGCTCAATAGACGGCAATTCTGCAACACTGTCAATTAATTCCTCTCTCTCGTGGGATCGACAGAAGCGACAGGACGCTTTCAGTGGAGAGAGAGAGAGAGAGGGGGGGGCAAGCGATGGATAGATGAATAGAGGGGGGGGGGATTCATCTATCCATCGAATCCTGAATCCGATGGGACGGATCGGATTCTTCCTTACCATTAGGAAGGAAAATGAGTTTTCCTTCCTAATGAAAATTACTTTTCTATTTTCACCCATTGGGTGAAAATGGAAAAGTCGAAATTTTCCATTTTTACCCATCTTTTCAATGGGTGAAAAGTCACCCATTAATGACATAATGGGTTGATGAATGGGTTGATATGGTGATCAGTTGGGCCGAGGCTAGTGTGATGGTCGATTAATCAGCGGCGAGTCGATCCTTATCACGATACAAGATTCTGAACCAGAATTCACTTAAGTATCTACCACTCTTACGAAACCTGTACATCTGTCTCTCAATCATGGCAGTTTGGTTGTCACATTTAATAAACACTTTATGAGCTTCCAATTAATTGGTTGTTTATAACAATTATAACCTTGGGTTGTGAGGTTGAGGCGCTCTTCACAACCGCTCGATAAACGTTAACAAAGCCTTGCACAATTAAGGAAAGATGTACAGGTTTCGTAAGTTACGTAAAAAAAAAGCTTGAGTCCAGAGCCGTATTTCTTGAACAGAACCTAAAGTTGTTTTCTAATATAATGGTATATTAGTCCATTGGTCTCTTAGTCCTTTATATTCTGGACCCTTGGGTAGGCCCCAAGGATTTCCTTATATCTTACGAAAGGATTCAAGGATTTCCTTATATCTTACGAAAGGATTCAAGGATTTCCTTATATCTTACGAAAGAATTCAAGGATTTCCTTATATCTTACGAAAGGATTCAAGGATTTCCTTATATCTTACGAAAGGATTCAAGGATTTCCTTATATCTTACGAAAGAATTCAAGGATTTCCTTATATCTTACGAAAGAATTCAAGGATTTCCTTATATCTTACGAAAGGATTCAAGGATTTCCTTATATCTTACGAAAGAATTCAAGGATTTCCTTATATCTTACGAAAGGATCCGGACGTCTCGGACGAGGCCCAAGGGTAGTTTTGCAAATAATTCTCGCTTCTTGGACAGTACTCAGCAGGTGTTGGGAATGGGAACCAGTCCACAGGTGTTGGGAATGGGAACCAGTCCACAGGTGTTTACAACATATGTGCATACACGAGGTACAGCGCGAGATATAGCCGGGCATTAATGCCTTAAGCATATAAAAATCAAATTTTAATGGATTATCATACTTTTCAGCGTTTAAGTGTTTAACATAAGCTACAATCGGTGAGTTGACCAGACCACACACTAGAAGGTTAAGGGATGACGACGTTTCGGTCCGTCCTAAACCATTCTCAAGTCGACCGACTTGAGAATGGTCCAGGACGGACCGAAACATTGTCGTCCCTTCACCTAGTGTGTGGTCTGGTCAATATACTTTAGCCATGTTATTGTGACTCATCGCCTGCATACAATCGGTGAGATTGTGTCTTACACTGTTCTTACAGTTCTTACACTGTAAGAAAAGTTCTTAGACTTGCTCTAAGACTGGCTCTAAGTCTAACATTTAGGTTTCGATTCCACGCGACCAATTCGGCTTTAAGAGACACTATTATTTATTCTCTCAGCAGTGTTCGACCCGCTGGTATTTACAGCGGGGGACTGAGAGTCGCGATAAATTCTCGTCTCGGTGATTTTAGTGGTGTTTGCCAGGTGCCACCCACAACAGTCAGGTGGCTCGGGTTGACAGCAACGTTTATGTTTAACGAAATGTAGCCTGTGTGAATTGATCTATTTATGGCCGACACAAGCACTGACGTACAGGGGAAGGGGGGGGGCGACAACCCCCCGCCCCCCTCATTCAACCACATGTAAACAGTTCAACGTGATTTGCCATTTAAAGAAATGTCAAACAGCCACAGCTACTATGCTCTATTCTTGACCACTCGCTCACTGCAAATCTAATTCCGCTTCGACACACTTCATTCTTAATTCCAGTGACATGGAAACTCCTATTAACTGAAATTCAAGTATTTCTGGCAAGTTATTCTGACAAGTGTTGCATTTGTCACGTCTGACATCATCTTCTTGAGATCTTGAGATGATTACGGGGTTTAGTGTCCCCCGCGGCCCGGTCCTCGACCAGGCCTCCACCCCCAGGAAGCAGCCCGTAGCAGCTGTCTATCTCCCAGGTACCTATTTACTGCTAGGTAACAGGGGCATCAGGGGTGAAAGAAACATTTTGCCCATTTGTCTCCGCCTCCACCGAGTATCGAACCCGGAACCTCAGGACTACGAATCCGAAGTGCTGTCCACCCAGCTGTCAGGCGCTCTTATCAAACATGAGAAGAGATTGGCCAACGTTATCACACAAGTCATATGTAAGCCACGGTTGTCATAGTCATATGTAAGCCCCAGTTGCCATAGCCATATGTAAGCCCCAGTTGCCATAGTCATATGTAAGCCACAGTTGCCATAGTCATATGTAAGCCACGGTTGTCATAGTCATATGTAAGCCCCAGTTGCCATAGTCATGTATATCTGGCTATGGGTCACGGATCCTGGGTTATCAACCCCTTAAATGTCTAATTACGAAACCTCTACATCCTTCGTCAATCATGGCGGGTTAGTTTGTATTAAACATTATTTTGTTATAACATGGTAAGCGTTATACGATGTTATAACAAATATAACCAGGGGGCCAGATTCACGAAGCAGTTACGCAAGTACTTACGAACCTGGGGCCAGATTCACGAAGCAGTTACGCAAGTACTTACGAACGTGTACACCTTTCCTCAATCTTTGACGGCTTTGGTTACATTTATTAAACAGTTTACAAGCATGAAAACTTGCCAATCAACTGTTGTTATTGTTATAAACAGCCTCCTGGTGCTTCCGAGCTCATTAACTCTTTAATAATTGTAAACAAAGCCGCTAAAGATTGACAAAAGATGAACGATATTGAGATGTACAAAAGATGAGATATTTAGTCTACACGCATGCACACACACACACACACACACACACACACACACACGCGCACGCACGCACGCACACGCGCACACACACATGCACGCACACACAAGCACGCACACACATGCACGCACACACATGCACGCACACACATGCACGCACACACATGCACGCACACACATGCACGCACACACATGCACACGCACACACATGCACGCACGTTATCATGGGAGGGAGGGAACTATCAAGGGAAAGCACCAAACCATTACGACTATACAGCACTTGGAAGGGAATCAGGATAAATATTTGGGATGGAACAGGGAGGAAAAGGAATGGTACCCAACCACTTGAACGATCGAAGAATTGAACGCCGACCTGCACGAAGCTCTACCGTCGCTCTACCGTCCACCCCAAGCGGCTGGACAGAAACAACAGCACCTCACACCCCCCCAAAAAATAAGACTCACCTGGGAGACAGGGTGAACACACTCCCCGTAGCCCTTGGAGTAGGTGAAGGTAAGGGGGCCGTGGAATGGACAGGTGACCGGTTCAGCGCTGAGACGGAACATTGAGTACAGCATAGCGTCCCCTGTGATGCCCATGCATAGCGCCCGTAGGTCCAACTCCATCGTATCGTCGCAATACGCTGTAGAGAGGAACACACACAGGTAAACAAACTAGTATTTTGTATGTGGTCATCATAGCTCCTATAATTATTGTGTCTTCCAGCGATGTGTGGTGCAATTCACGCTGATTTTCCTCATAATTCATACCTCGTAGTTCTGGGACAAGTCCAGATATACCTTTGAACCTTATTGTACGGTGTGGCTGGGAGTGGGTGTAGGTGGGTGTGGGTGGGTGTGGGTGGGTGTGGGTGGGCGTAGGTGTGGATGGCGTGGGTGTAGCTAGGTGTGTAGGATTATATACTACTTGCACCCAACTTTGCAGAGAACTTCCTAAGCTCAGAATATTCATTTCTAAGTTCATCTTTTCTAAAAAGGTTTCCCATTCCGTCCCCCCCACCATTCTTAACTAGTTGCTCCTCCTCCTCCTCTTCCCCCCTTCCCTCTCTCCCTCCCTCTCCCTCTTTCTCTCTCTCTCTCTCTCTCTCTGTCCAAATATTTCTTATATTCCAGTTAATTACCAAGTCAACTTTTTGAGTTTCTTTTCACTTAACGAGTGCCCCTAATCATCATTCCTTTGTTGTACGTTTACAATTATCTTCGTCTCCCCTTCTTCCTCCTTCGTCTTCTGTTCACCACTTGACATCATGTAGCTCATATGATTTTTTTTTTTAAATCTACGAGAAAATGTCTTTTCGAGGTTGGAGCCAGACGTTAGGGGCTAGTCCCACCAAACTATCCAGGGTGATTTGAGATTCTATGCCGATGGTGTTAGGGTGCTTAGGATCGATCCCCATGCCTCACCATTTAAGAAGGATCGGATGCCAATACCGAATTTCCGAGACGGCTATGATGTACGAAATGTGGGTTTGATTGTCCATAGAGTTAACACATTTTAATCCTCAAAATGCATCCGGTGGCTGCAGGTGACGGGTCTCCAAATCCTGAGCACTCCAGTTGCAAACTCTGTGAGCAGGAACTACGGCATGATCTCCCACACTACATCACTGAATGCCCAGTTATTAGACCTTTCGGACCAGTTGGCATGAGGTACCTGGAGCTTTGCAATTACTTTATTCACTCTCGTATTCTTGAAGATATCCTCACAGTATACCCAAAATTTGCCAGTGCAGGCAATAAAACACATGGCTCTGTATGACTAACCATCCTGCGAGATGGGGACTTGTATTACCACTGCTACCTTATTCAATCTTGTGTTGTTGATATCCTCAAAATGCATCCGGAGTCTGCCAGTGCAGACTGCCTATCACATGCCTCTGTATGACTAACCATCCTGTGTGATGGGGATTTTTTAGCATAACCTAGTTAGGTTTTTGGACACACTGTACTCCACTTCATATAGTCTAGGGTAGCTGCACTAATGCAGATGTACCTCATGTATTTATAAAAAAAAATAATGAAAAGCTATGATTTGTTCAGATCTGAAACCTATATCTATGGGCAGCACAAAACGTCCACCAGACTGTGCGACACAGTGGTTGCCAGGATCAGATTGGGTTACCGTTACCTGTGGCAGGTGGCTGCAGGTGACGGGTCTACCAGTCCTGAGCACTCCAGGTGCAAACTCTGTGAGCAGGAACTGCGGCAGGATCTCCCACACTACATCACCGAATGCCCAGTTATTAGACCTTTCATACCCGTTGGCATGAAGTACCTGGAGCTTTGCAATTACTTTATTCACTCTCGTATTCTTGAAGATATCCTCACAGTATACCCAAAATTTGCCAGTGCAGGCTATTAAACATATGGCTCTGTATGACTAACCATCCTGCGAGATGGGGACTTGTATTACCACTGCTACCTTATTCACTCTTGTGTTGATGATATCCTCAAAATGTTTCCAGAGTCTGCCAGTGCAGACTGCCTATCACATGCCTCTGTATGACTAACCATCCTGTGTGATGGTATGACTAACCATCTTGTGTGATGATATGACTAACCATCCTATGTGATGGTATGACTAACCATCCTGTGTGATGATATGACTAACCATCCTGTGTGATGGTATGACTAACCATCCTGTGTGATGGTATGACTAACCATCCTGTGTGATGGTATGACTAACCATCCTGGGCGCACATCCTTACTCTGTGCAGCATGGAAGCAGAGTTCACTGTGCAGCATGAAAGCAGAGTTCTCTCTGCTTTCCAGATAGAAAAATTTTAATGTTCAGAATATATTGTAATACTTCTCTCTTCTATCATCTATAAATATCTATTGTAACAGATATTTATACCTGTATGTTTAACCGATTCTATGCAAGTAGGAGTATTTTTTAGCTAGGCTATCTGGCAAATCACATCTAGGTAACCACATTCAAGTACACATTGAGATCACACTAACGTGATGTATCAAATGAACAAATCCACAAGGGCTGTGACGAGGATTCGAACCTGCGTCCGGGAGCATCCCAGACACTGCCTTAATCGACTGAGCTACGACAGGGTTAAAAGAATTTCGGTTTCAACTCTTTTAACCCTGTCGTAGCTCAGTCGATTAAGGCAGTGTCTGGGATGCTCCCGGACGCAGGTTCGAATCCTCGTCACAACCCTTCATATATATAAATATATATATCAAGAAACTCCACCTTCATGCTGAAAATACAACAAATCATACTCACATTCCTTGTATTGTATGATGTTGCTGTGTTTCATGTTGATTACCATACACTTGTGACAGTTGTATTTCCTGAAGAGAAACAGAAACACCTATTAGCAAGCTGTCTGGGATTAATAGAGATTAATAGTCTGGGATTAATAGAGATTAACAGTCTGGGATTTATAGATATAATAGTCTGGGATTAATATATATTAATGGTCTGGAATCAATAGATATTAATTTTGGGATTAATAGATATTAATTAGTCTGGGATTAATAGATATTAATAGTGTGGGATTAATACATATAATAGTCTGGGATTAATGGATATTAATAGTCTGGGATTTATAGATATGGGGGTTCAAAAACCGACTTGCTACTCATTGCTATAGCCCACTTGAACCCATAATAATCCTCTTTACTAATATTAATACTCTTTACTAAGAGGCTTCATACCACTCTCAAGATTTTTACGATCTAGCAAATCTTGAAAATAAAAAATGTTTTTAACAGATTAAAAATCATAAAAACACATTAAAAATAAATAAAAATTATAATGAATGTTGTGAGTCCGAGGGAGTTTACCCGTTTGTTCCCGTCCTAAAAGTCTGGGGACGAGAGGATTCCTGTCTCATTACCTGTCTCGGACGGGTTCCTCACGTCCAATAGGCTCCGCCAGTCGATTGGACGTCTTTATGTTCATTATTCATCTTTATCTTTCCTTGGACTTAGGTCAGGAGCAGGAGGGTGGATGGGGGAGGGAGAAAACGGATGAAGGATAAGGAGAAAAGATAATAGGAAGGATAAAGTTAAGAAAGAATGAGAAAGGGAGAAGATAAATAGACCAGTTAATATTGGGATAAGAAAATAATCAGAAAAGATGATGGGAGATAAGAGGAAATAGAATCATTTAAGAGGAACGTGGAAGTAATAAGCGAAAAAAGATGACCAAGAGAAAGTAGGAGAAAGGGGAGAAAGTAAGAGAATGGGAAAAAAAAACATGAAATTGAAAATAAATTTTCTCTCTCTCTCTCTCTCTCTCTCTCTCTCTCTCTCTCTCTCTCTCTCTCTCTCTCTCTCTCTCTCTCTCTCTCTCTCTCTCTCTCTCTCTCTCTCTCTCTCTCTCATTACCACCCCTCGTAGCATAATGAGTCATTGTCTGGCACTCTGCTGCCACCCTCTTGGCACTGTCTATCGTTTGCCGTCCAAACACTCTGGGGGTCTGGCCGACCTGACCCCCCCCCTCACAAGTGCCGGAGGTGGTTGGGGGGGGTCATTACCCCCCAACCACTCATTACCACCTTCCTGCCTCCTCTCATAAATCTCCTCATCTCTCCACACACTTCTTCCAAGTTCTTATTGACTTTTTTCGCTTTTTTTTTAGCTTATATTTTGTGACTTTTTAACATTTGTTACTTTCTGCTCTTCCTTCACCCTGCTCTTCCTTCACCCTGCTCTTTCTTCACCCTGCTCTTCCTTCACCCTGCTCTTTCTTCACCCTGCTCTTCCTTCACCCTGCTCTTCCTTCACCCTGCTCTTCCTTCACCCTGCTCTTCCTTCACCCTGCTCTTCCTTCACCTTCCTCCTACTCCTCCTCTTTGAGCACACCTCTTGCCTCCTCAGGTGGTCCAGTCTGCCCCCTTCAAGTCTGTCAAAATACTCACACCTCCAGTAATTATTCAGCCTTCTCCCTCCAAGCCTCCAACCCCCTCCCCCAACCCTACACAAGGAATATATCCTTCCAGGCGAAATAAAATTTAAGATTTCTTAATTTACTCTCTCTCTCTCTCTCTCTCTCTCTCTCTCTCTCTCTCTCTCTCTCTCTCTCTCTCTCTCTCTCTCTCTCTCTCTCTCTCTCTCTCTCTCGCTCGTTCGTTTTCGATTAGTTTCTTAGGTAGAATAGTCAATAACTGAGGTGGTAAGTGTAGGGATTAAATCCTAATCCATCCAAATCCAGCCTAACCTACCTAACCAGAGGTCCTCGTCTAACCTAACCTTACCTAATCTAATCTAACCTAACCTTACCTTACCTAACCCAAGTTAACCCAAGCCTAACCTAACCTAAACCTAACCTAATCCTAACCTAAACCTAACTTAAACCTAACTTAAACCTAACTTAAACCTAACCTAAACCTAACTTAAACCTAACCTAAACCTAACCTAAACCTAACCTAACCTAACCTAACCTAACTTAAACCTAACCTAAACCTAACCCAAACCTAACCTAAACCTAACCCAAACCTAACCTAATCAAACCCATGAAGTTGAATACCTAAACTACTCTCCTGTGGTGATAAGAGCTTTTAATTAACCTTTAAACTCTACTCGAACATGTTTTATATCGTCATCGTCTTATTTTTTAATGATTCGGCCACTCCTCCTCCTCTTTCTCCTTACGCACGCGCACGCAGTGTTAACACACTTCCCCTGGTCTGGGTTCGAGTCCTGGCCGGGGAGGATTGACTGGGCGCTAGTCCTTATAACCGTTCGCTTCCGTTCACCTTGATTGGGTACCTGGTTGCTAATCGATTGGCGAGTCGTGTTCCAGGGACATCTACAGTAGGGAAAGCTTAACACGAGCTAAGGGAAGGCGAAGCTGTAAGTTTACTAACAGTCGTCTCAAGTCGTCTGTTCCTGCAAGGCACTACGGGCTCACCATAGCCCGTGCTACTTGGAACTTTGTCCCAGGTAGCGAATCTTTAACAACAACAACGTCTGTTCCTGTACCCACCTGTGTGAACAAACACCTGGAGGACAACTCTAACATATTACAAAATGAACTAGACATTATCCAGAAACGGTTTCAGAAATGGCTACTGGACTTTAACTCGAACAAATGCAAGGTTATGATGAAAGGAACAGATAGCAAGAGGAACCTCTTATACAATAGAATAGCGAAGTCAATTCCCACTTCAGAAAAATATCAGTACTTGGGAGTAGACACAACACAATGATTTAACACCAGAGGCCAGTACAATATAATATATATATATATATATATATATATATATATATATATATATATATATATATATATATATATATATATATATATATATATATATATATACACAACTTTAGAACACTTTCCCACCAGGAGACTCGAACCCTAGCCAGCACAGAAGCCTTCCAGCAACTGGCATAACAGGTACGCCTTAACCCTCTCCACCACCTGCTCAGACCCTTAAAAGAGATGGTAATTTCGGAGTATTTAAATACCACAAAGATCACCACCTCCCAAGAGCACTAGAGCAAGTGAGGGGTCATTTAGACGTTAATTTCATCAAGTCCCTGTTAATATGGGAAGACACAGTGTCTATGCTTAAGGCACAACTCTCCTAAACACGAGAGTCAAGTATACAACTTTAGAACACTTTCCCACCAGGAGACTCGAACCCTAGCCAGCACAGAAGCCTTCCAGCAACTGGCATAACAGGTACGCCTTAACCCTCTCCACCACCTGCTCAGACCCTTAAAAGAGATGGTAATTTCGGAGTATTTAAATACCACAAAGATCACCACCTCCCAAGAGCACTAGAGCAAGTGAGGGGTCATTTAGACGTTAATTTCATCAAGTCCCTGTTAATATGGGAAGACACAGTGTCTATGCTTAAGGCACAACTCTCCTAAACACGAGAGTCAAGTATACAACTTTAGAACACTTTCCCACCAGGAGACTCGAACCCTAGCCAGCACAGAAGCCTTCCAGTATATACTATATATATACTATATATATATATACTATATATATAGTATACTATATATATATAATATATATATATTATATATATATAGTATATTGTATATATATACAATATACATCAGTACAATATAGACAGCAACATTTCCAATACAGTGTTGCAATACTGTGTTTTGCAATACTGACAAATGTGCGGATTATCCCCCACAAATTTGAGACAAAAACAACGTTCAGTGTTGTATACATTCTGCATAAGCCGCCATCTTCAAGAGGAAACTAGATTGTATTCCTCCAAGGAGTGCCGGACCAACCGGGCTGTGGTGGGTATGTGGGCCTGCGGGCCGCTCCAAGCAACAGCCTGGTGGACCAAACTCTCACAAGTCAAGCCTGGCCTCGGGCCGGGCTTGGGGAGTAGAAGAACTCCCAGAACCCCATCAACCAGGTATATGTGGGCCTGCGGGCCGCTCCAAGCAACAGCCTGGTGGACCAAACTCTCACAAGTCAAGTCTGGCCTCGGGCCGGGCTTGGGGAGTAGAAGAACTCCCAGAACCCCATCAACCAGGTATATGTGGGCCTGCGGGCCGCTCCAAGCAACAGCCTGGTGGACCAAACTCTCACAAGTCAAGCCTGGCCTCGGGCCGGGCTTGGGGAGTAGAAGAACTCCCAGAACCCCATCAACCAGGTATATGTGGGCCTGCGGGCCGCTCCAAGCAACAGCCTGGTGGACCAAACTCTCACAAGTCAAGCCTGGCCTCGGGCCGGGCTTGGGGAGTAGAAGAACTCCCAGAACCCCATCAACCAGGTATATGTGGGCCTGCGGGCCGCTCCAAGCAACAGCCTGGTGGACCAAACTCTCACAAGTCAAGCCTGGCCTCGGGCCGGGCTTGGGGAGTAGAAGAACTCCCAGAACCCCATCAACCAGGTATATGTGGGCCTGCGGGCCGCTCCAAGCAACAGCCTGGTGGACCAAACTCTCACAAGTCAAGCCTGGCCTCGGGCCGGGCTTGGGGAGTAGAAGAACTCCCAGAACCCCATCAACCAGGTATATGTGGGCCTGCGGGCCGCTCCAAGCAACAGCCTGGTGGACCAAACTCTCACAAGTCAAGCCTGGCCTCGGGCCGGGCTTGGGGAGTAGAAGAACTCCCAGAACCCCATCAACCAGGTATATGTGGGCCTGCGGGCCGCTCCAAGCAACAGCCTGGTGGACCAAACTCTCACAAGTCAAGCCTGGCCTCGGGCCGGGCTTGGGGAGTAGAAGAACTCCCAGAACCCCATCAACCAGGTATATGTGGGCCTGCGGGCCGCTCCAAGCAACAGCCTGGTGGACCAAACTCTCACAAGTCAAGCCTGGCCTCGGGCCGGGCTTGGGGAGTAGAAGAACTCCCAGAAC